AGGGTATAACTCTGTCAGTATTCGAGTGAATAAGCCATTATCAGCCTTGCTAATTCGGCTTTCTAGCATAATTTCGTTTTGTTAGAGTTTCCGATTGTCACAACAATTTGGAGCGATTTTCTTAAAATTCGGCATTTTCTGACCAGATTTTAAAGGCATTTGTCTGCGGAGATCGCGAAACATTGTAATGTTCCTAAATAATTGTTTGATGCCAATGTAATTAATATTAGACCAAAATACTTCAACTCATACGCAGATCTTTCTACTCTTAGCCGAGTAATCTCATTTTGGCCTTCCGTGAGGAGATCTGACATAATCAACTTAGTCACTGTGTCATTTAACAGACCAATTTTGGAGCCCATTAAATTAATTTTTTTAAAAAATTTTAGATAAAAGAAATCTGCATTCGCGCGTAAGCATCGCTTTGATGGACAGCTTATTAAACCAGATGGCAATATAATTCAGCCGGGTTTATAGATTATCACTCGAAATAAAATCTATGCTGGGGGAGATTTTTTGTGAGACATCGGTTAAATTAATTTTAAGGCATTTCTCTGTGTGGAGAATTTACGTAAATAAATACCTTCAGTATTCATTTTCACAAATGCCTCGCGTTGCGTCATAAGATAGACATCTCATTTGTCGTCAGTTCCTCGGTGGGGAGGCCGAGGTGGCGATTCTCAGAAATGGTCCACAAATCTTGAACTTAAAGACGAATGTAGCCTCTTTTGGGCTTTTGAAAGGCTATACTAGAAAGAATCAAGGCTGATTTCTGATTTAAAAGGTCGAGTGGTTCGAAAATCGTGCTCAGGTTGCGACGAGCAAACAGGATTGTTAGTCGGGTATCACGAAACGCATGATCAAATCAAGTGACTTATGCGCCCACGACCCGACGCGACTGCAAGAGATGTCAACAAAGCGGTAAAGTTTGATTCACTGCGCTCACAAGAGATCTTAGGAATATACTGAAGGACCTATAGAAAAGTAAGTGCTACTATCTAGAGTTAAGAGACTGCTTTAAATAAGTTGTGCTTGTCACGGTTTTTTGGCGATTCAAGCTCGGTATTTCGTAACAAGCAATCTTGATCAAGTTAATCGCTTAGCAATTCCAGCGATGTTAATTGTTTTTTAATCAATCTCCGTTACAACAATTGCCGCACCACTCTTATGGGGCTTTTCAATCGCACCTATCATGCCAAATCAAACTTAATAGTGATCATAACACGTTGTGATACAGTTATAGTCTACAAACACATAAACTGAAGCAAAATTCGGCTTCAATATTTCATATTTCTCACTTACATTTCCACCTCGAGGGATCCGGTTGGAGGTCATTTCTTTAAGGATTATGTTTTAAAACACACGTCACGAGCGAAAATTGCAAAACATCGAGCAGAAGCTCCGCGGAAATCGACTGAAATGATCCACAGTTACTTCAAAATCCTTGAGGTGTTAACTGTTAGAGGTATAATGATAGACTGCTGAGAACGTTAAGAATGTAACGCAGTTTTAATTTCACAAAATCTTATCATCCAACTAAGTGTTCCCCCTCCCACTATAACCCAAATTTACTTCTGTGACACTTATTAGAACACTCTACCTTGAGAAACATTTCTTAAAAAACACAATGCTCCTCTGTCTTTAAGAATAATTATGCTCTTCAAACGGAGCGGAAAGAAATATTTTGTTAACTTCTTGAGAAGAGAAAAAAACGTGTACTGTTTGTTTTGTCTCGATTCAATTGAATGCCCCGTCTTCATATTCTGTCCCGAAATACATCTTTGTTAGATTTTCTTGATTGCGTGCTGATAATTAACAGAGGATTAAGAGATGTCTAAGGTCCCCGGGGATCGACACCTGGGAATCGAAAAAAGAACTCGTGATCAAATTTATGGATCTGGAGGCGAAGCAACTCGTATTTTGGTTTGACCTTAAGGTTAGGCTGTTAAGCACCTTCTAGTTAAACAACGATTTTATTAACATAACCATTTTGAGTGTATTTTTGTAAGTTCAAGGTCAGTTATCCCAGCTAAAAATTTTAAGCATTTATTTATTGAAGTCGTTTTTGTTGCTTTGTTGTTGTCCTGTTATCGTTATGTGTTTTTTTCTCGTCCTTCTGTTGCGTTGTTGTTTTGTTTTGCTTTCGTCGTGCTATTTTTAAAATATTATTCTCATTCTAAATACGATCGAAGGTCGAAATGTTCTGATTGAATAACGCTGCATGGGGTCGATCCTCTCTTTATATTATAGTCTTCTCCCCATTCCAACCACCCCTTTACCGCCCTCCAAGAGGGAGAAAAATCTACTCTATCTAAAGGAGAGGTCTAAACATAGATTGTCAACAACAAGAGGTCTGTCTTTTCTTCGGGTAATTTTGCATTTGAAGAGTTTTGGTAGGTCATTTCCGTATCCCTCGTTTGAATGGTAAACTTTGTCTAAAACTTTCCTTTGAAGATATTCGACGGTTCTTGGGATTGCAGAATAAAACAGCTCGTTGTCTATGCATGCGATACTAACCAACGACTTGATAATTCCTGGCATAAGCGATCATTTTGAGTAGGGTGTAATTGGTTTTTAACTCAGCAAGGAAGTTCTTTGGTCTGTTAAGGTGTCAGCACCAGCCTAATCCCCACCCAAAGCCGACAAGAGGCTAAACGACCAAATGTTGTGGGCCATTGCGAGCCTCTTACCTCACCAAGCTGATGATCATGTTTTTGCAGAAGTTTGAAAATCAATCAGATCTTAAAGATATCAGGAAATTGTTCTATTAATTATTTATTCTATTAAATAGTTTTCTTCCTCAGTGCTGTCAATATGTACCCTGTTGGAAAATTAATGGTTACTTGCTGTTGTTAATGAAAAGAAAGGCAGAGAATGAGCGGATTTTCGTCAATAATGCCACCAGCTAACCATGCAAAGGCTGTGGTATTTGAAATGTTCTGTTTCTTCATTGTGTAGGAAGGTATCGCTATGGACCGGAACGGGTTCACGGAAATCGTACCTAGCCCAAAAGTGCAGAAAAAGAAGGCCGACCATAAACACAAGGTAACTTTTGTTTTAGTGAATTGACAATTTTCCAATCAGTTTGTCTGTTGGTTTGTTTGTTCCCTTAATTGTCCACATTAAAAAGAAAATGATGAACAGACCTCGATTCGAAATTGAGGTTCTTTTTAGAAAGGCGAACAATGGTAGAAAGGGAATATTGACGATGAAGCTATTATCCGTAATTTTTTCTTTTAGGACTCCGCAAATTCTAGTGACCTGCAGCAAAAAACAGCCAGTCCAAAATCGGAAAGGAAGATAAAACATGAACGACAGAAGAGCAAGGTAGTTAAAAACGTACCATTTTTTGTGTGCCTGTTTGATAAACTGGTTCATAAATTCTTTATTTACTTTGCGACTTGGCCGTTTTTCCTTATTTCTCTCTCCATGCGTCTTCACACCTCACACCTCATACCACACGCATGGGCGGTTATTGGACCTGTCCCAATTGTGTGAGGCAACTTTTGAGCAACTTTTGGCGTTTGGAACAACCTTTTGCGGTTCTGGCAACCTTGAGCAATTTTAGCTTCTCTAAGCAATTTTTGAGCAAAATAAAGGTTTAGAGCACATATCAAGCGCGAAGAAGTCAGCGATTTAATAGAAAACTTCAATTCATGCAAATTTCTTGAATGATCATCAACCTTTTAAACGCAAATGAACCTAGCGTAATGCTCGGTGTTTGGTTTTGTTAGACTCAAGAGTTTAGCCCACATTTGCGGGCAACTCCTTAAAGCTAAGTTTCAGCTACTTTTCTGGAACGATGTTGATAATCACTTTGAAGAACGAATAATAAAGCTTTTAATTAACGTTTATATATGTAAAAAAATATCAACAAATTTGGGTAGCAACTTTTGAAATTTAGTAAGCAACTTTTTGGATTTTTGGCAATTTTTTTAGCAACGATCTTGGCATTCCAGTGAGCCACTCCTCGTGCATCATTTATACGAGCGCAATTGGGACAGGACTAGCGGTTACTAATGGCAACGTTGAGAGGAACGCCTGGGCCGAATCAAGAAAAAATACACATAACTAAATGGGCCGGTAATTTACTCCGATTAAACTTAATAACTTTTAGCAGATGTAAACTTCTACGTTTGCTTTTCGTGCAGGATCAGGTGGAATTAGATCCCGAGAACCTTCTGAGCCCGCGACAAGAGCCGAAAAGAAGTCCTTTTTTCCTCCCGAAATTCGGCAGTAGTGGTAAAACAGTAAGTTTTTTTTTCATATTTCGTCTTGAGTTTGTTTTGTTGTGGCAAATTCGAATTCCTGTGTGCAATATTGTTTGACAATGGTAATTGAACCGAGTGGTATGCAATTTAGTCTGAAATCGTATACTTTATTTGAGAACACAAGTATGATTTCAGAGCAAAATTGCACGAGACGAAGTTCAATCACCACTTTACTACACTCATTTTGAAATCGCAAAATTCCATCGCTTAGATACAAGATGTCTTAGTCTGCGCAAATGTTTTATCGATCCAGCGGTGAGCTGGTTTGCAGAACGTTGCAAAATTTGTTTTTCGTTTTCCCGCAAGCGATTGGTTGTTGTATTTTTACTGAAGCCTCCTTATTGGCTTGGAAAAAGATATGATTCAGAGTAAAAAAGTGATTCGATTCGTGAATAAGTCGCACCAATGAGAGCCAATCAGATTACAAGGATCACCAGTAATTTCAAAATGGATGTAATAAACAGTGATAACACTTTGTGAAGTTAGATAGAGTTGAAGCGACCAACTGACGTAGAATGTGAGATTTAAATCAAAACTACTTAAAGTCTCCGACAAAAGCAGCGCAAAGAACGTGTCAGTTGTGAAATTATTTTCACAAAAAAAATTATTTTCTTTTAGCAAGACTCTGAAAGCCTTGGTGACAAACTTCAGGACACACCGAAGTCTGAGAAAAAGAAGTTACAAAAACAGCAAAAGACGCCGGATTGTACTCGAACTCCCACAGTAAGATATCATCTTTATTTACTTGCAATACGAAAATTTTGGACGTTAAAAAAAAACATCACTAGACGCACAAACAGAAAATAACTAGACAAGAAGACAGTCAAACTTTGTTTTTTAATGCCTTAAACTCTCTTTGGCTCTTTATGAAATATTTCCCCTTATTCTGGATTGTTACTGTTTTTTTGTTAGGGATTTGCGGCACTTAATCGAAATGTGCTCGAAACTAGCCTCTTCTTGTACTAAGCGTTATTTTGCCAAAATAATTTAACTGAGACACTTGCAAATATCTTCTTAAAAAAAAAATTGTAAACTGCTCAATACAGTCTAGCCAAAGTCCCCCGCAAAGTTTTGTAAATCAACTCAGAACAACCTTCGATGAGAAGAGTTAATATAGACCACTACCACTACTATTACAACAAGTATCACAACTGTATCTTTAACGCCTCGTTCACTTTGATTTTCAACATAATATCATTCAAACAATTCAAGCTGGCCAATAACTTTTCATTTGAATAATTAGCACAATCTTTAAAAAATATTAATATGTATTTTTCATTCAAGTTGCCAATCAGAACACAATACACAGACGCCTGTCAGTCTAAGTACTTTTTTTTTACCATAAACGCGTCACATTTGATGTGAATCACGCTCCATCTTGACATGAATCCCGAAATAACCGTTCAACCGCAAACTTTCATTTCGCGTTAATAAAACATGACAAGGGTATGAGTGGGGATTTTAAAGGTCAAATGCTCTCCACCATCATTCTTAAACTTGTAAATTTTTAATTTAGTTTGAAAAGAAAGAATTAGGGCTTTCTTGTGAGCAAATATAATTATGAACTTAAGGTGATTCTTTTTTCCATTTCCGCTTCTTATTGCTCATGACAAATTACTCTTAAATAAATTCTGTAATTTTTTTTCTTGAACTTACAAAAACAAAACCAGAGGTGGTATTTTTAATGGAAACTTTCACGACTTGGCCAAATTTGTTTATTTATCCGTCTACGAAAGTTTTCATTCCAAATTTAGCCTTTCACCAAGAAGAAAACAACACACGTCAGAGTGTGGTCGCGGAACATGAGATAAGCTTGCCAGAGCGCAATACTTTGATGAAGCGGAGAGGAAGTCAGCAAGACTTATGTTTGACCTGTTTCAATTTGTTGTTCTCATTGTCCACTAATATTGGTCCCTCCGCATTTTAATCCATGCCTTTTGATGTATATTGACAAACTGTGAAGTGTTTGTCATAAATCATAACGTTGAAAAGACTTATCTCCATGAAACTGTAGATAAACATCCACGATTTTGCATCTCGTTTATGATCCGATTACAAAAACCCTCGCGCCAGGAGACGAGGAAATAAGAAGAGAAAGCTATGGAGGAATGCGAAAATGGCACCTGTAATGAAGGTTCTCTGTTGGCTGTTCCTTCTCCGGCAGTCGGCATCAAGTCTCGTTCTTACTCCGACACTTCCATCTTCAAACATATTCCTCAGAAACCACGCGGCAATTCACATAGCGCTGTCGATGACAACATCCAAATTTCGCCTCCCCCGATTTTTTCGTCGGAAAGTGGTCGCGACGAACCAGTTCTGAATGAAAATTCTACATTGAAATCGGCGAAGCGAAAGATTTCGCGACCTCGTTCTCCATTCACCTCCGAAAAGGCTTTTGATCTTTTGTCCAAGCTTGCCAAGACAGACTTTGTCGCCAAAGTTACTTCAAGCAGTCCAAAATTAAATTCAAGACGAACGAAATCGAAAAGTAGAGAAAATGAAACGGTAAGAACAGTCAGTTACATTTATAGCCTTCAGTTCTTTCTTTTATATGTAGACTTTTTTTATGAAACGTCGATACAATCATACTGTAATTTTAATAGGGATTTTCATTTCTGATACACTCGTACATTAATTCCGGCAACCTTCGTGACCATTGGACTAAGTGATACAAATATTCAATGACTTACGTGACTTCAACTTCAAAGCCCCTCTTGGTCTTAATTAAAATACAGAAAAGAGTCACTTTTGAACGCGTAAAACGCCTCATTTGCAACTAGTTAACCATTGTTACGACTCAATCACTGTAACGTAACAACATAGATACCGTATCATAACATTATTTGTTTACGCACTTATTACATAAAGGCAGATTCCGCTTACTGTGAAAGGAGAATAATTAGTCCCGCTTGCTTTCCCACCGATGACTTTGTTCTTTTAAGTTACGACGCAGACTACTGAGCATAAATTTGAAGGTTAGAGGCTTGGGTTCCTCCGTAGATTTATTTCGGAAGCAGAGAAGTCTAATGAGAAGCGGAGCTCCATAGTCTCTTTCTGAGTCAGTCCAATAAGTTATGTAAGACAGGGCCCGTATTCAGAGAGTCACTGGAGCTCTTTGTCGTGTGAATGTTCCTATTTTTTCTCAAAGTTTTCCAAAGTGCCGCAACGTTAAGGAAATTTGGAAATCGTAATTTTAATTTTTCAAAACAAGGTTTAAAAATCGCCTTTTGTTCAGCTTTTCCGAGCTCAAGCCGACAGCACTGGCAAAAAACTCGTTGCATTGTAAATTTGGAAATTGGGTAGTATTTTTATTTTTCAAAACAAGTTTTAAAAATCGCCTTTTGTGGAGCCTTTCCGAGTTCTAGCAGACAGCACTTGCGAAAAACGCGTTGCATTATAAATTTGGAAATCGGGTGGTCATTTTTATTTTTCAAAACAAGTTTTAAAAAAGCCTTTTGTGGAGCTTTTCCGATTTCTAGCAGACAGCACTTGTGAGAGGTTGTTACAGTGTTTCCCCTTAGAATGTCAGAAACAACTCCTGTGTAAGAATCACCAGCTATCTTCTCGCATTACTTTGAGGTTTTTTCAACTAATTTCACCAACACCCCAGCTTATCTTCGTTCAATAATTTGTTTATAACTTATTTATTTAAAATGTTTTGGCTACCTATTTTTTTTAATTCAGATATTTGTCGATCATTATTTCACCATTTACACCTTTTATCGCTTCGCTTCTTTTAAAACACAGCTAGTTTCAATTGCGGGATAAAAGAAATTCGTGATTGTGTTAGCTTTGCTTTACTTCGCTCTGCGAACTGCTGAAAAGGAGAAAATTGCGTCATTCTCAAGTAATCAGGGCCCAGACCCCTCATAATATACATACATTGTCCAGCAAACAGGTAATGAGAATACTCAAACTCCTTAGGTAGAATTTGATGACTTGATTTAACACCAAATTCTCTTAACCAATTTACAAGGAAATTTGTAGCACCTAGAGGAGAGAATTGACTATCAGATCCTGAGAGCTAAAGGGTTGAAGGGGGGATAATGCTACCCTGCTATCCAACGGTTAAGTCGTTATCTAGGAGATAACTGTTCACAAAACATACTGCGCCATCCACCGGGTACAGACGTATACTCTGGATACCGTTATCCACCCTACGAACAACCTGGCCAGATGTAAAAATAAACCTCCAACATCATCCCGCTTTTCAGGCAGTTTGCTAATTTTTAACTTTGGGATTCCAGGCACTCCTGATTCAAGACTTTCCTTGGTTTTACAACACCCGGCGATCAAAAAGCGATATATCACTGACCTTGATCATTGGTTTAATGCTTGAATTAACAAAACTAGTGAATTTTTGTTCAATACTTTGCAATCGGAATTTTTAATGATACGAATTTGGTTTGTTTTTTTTTGCCTCGAAAAACGCCCTAGTTATTTTTAGTCCATAGCTGACTGATAAACGGCAATTCTGATTGTCAAAAAGTTGACTGCACCTCTCAAGTTCATCAGTTTCCCTGGTGGGATTTACCATGTATATTTGTTAGACAACTTCCATCTCAGGTAATTTAGTGTTAACAACTGAGTTGAAAACGCAAATTAGCCACCGCAAAGAGTTTAAAGGCTGACGTTTCGAGCGTTAGCCCTTCGTCCGAGTAGGTTTACAATATGAAGTCTTAAACTAAACATAAATTAACCAGCAGATTCAAAAGTATTTAACTGTTCTTGTATTCACTTCGCCACTGATGAAAACGGCAACTTACCTGATAACTTTTCTTTCCTTACTCAGGTGTTTCTTGTGGAAAATATTCAGGATGGCCAGGATTCAGCGCTTAAGGTAAAGTACTGAGATTCTTCTCTCTTAAAGAGTGGTTGCTCGCGTCCAAGTCACACAAACCTCACGCACGACCCTCGCGCACGAATATTGCATGCCACATTTCTCTCTAAGTGGTCTCAATCTTAGTTTCAACAGCCGCTCCAGCTGGCTCGTCCCCAGTTGTATTTAATTTCTTATGCACAGTCACGTGGTCGCGGGAGACTTGAAATACCTCAAAGAAGGAGACAACCTTCGACTACGCGCGGCTCTCACGCGCTTCCCTCGTTTGATTAAGTAATTGAGAAACGACCAGAGACGAGTAAAACCCTTCAGCTTCAGACGTTATCGTTCCTATCATCTCAAACTAAGGTTGTTTTGGGGTAAGACTGCCAAGTGATCAGACGAAAACATCGGCGGTCGTTTTTCCAACCGCTCACTCTTGCACAGTTTTAGTATTGCGGTCTCTCAAAATCTCAGGCACATAGCTCAGGCAGACCACCCAATGGGTGCCACTGACGTGGCATATCCTCTTAAATCGTTCGCAACTGTTACCAGCAGTTGCGAAAGATTCTCAAAAGGACGTGTCAAACAGCCCGCAAAGGCAAAAACTTTCTACACTTTAAGGGCACCAATATTTTGTCGCGCTTTCTTGAATTTTTTTTTTTTTTGACAAAGATTAAGATTTTATTTTTAACCACATAAATTCCTTTATATTCGAATATTCGAGAAGTTTGCCCGTCCTGTCGCACCCATTGGGTGGTCTGTCTGTGTTAATAATAGGCAAGTGGAGATAAAGTGTTTATCCTCTCTTGTAGTAGGTTATCTTGAGAATTTATTTCCTTCTCTGACACACACCTTGGGATAGATAAGCTGTGCATTGGTCCCCGCGTTCTGAACTCATAGAGGTGATTTTAGTTCGCATTCCATCTTTATCGGCTTCCCTTCCGGCGAAGTGTAAACAATTTTAGACGTCACTAAATTCTTCATTTCCGGATCTTTGTCAACCAGCCTTTAAAGATATCTCTCCAAAACAAACGAAAACAAATGCAATTTTTTTTCCGCTCAACAGATTAGTGGTAGGCTCGGTTTACCATGTCTAGGCAGAAAGCTCTTGAAAAATACCATTGGAATGAGTACTGCTCATCGTTTTAGAGCACATTCTCTTCAGCTACAAAAAAACAAATACAAAAAAAAAATGAAAGGAGGCAGAAAATAAAGAAAAATATCTGTTCTCTATTCAACTTATTTTTCTGTCAGCCTTATTCTCAAGGGACAAGCCACGAGGTTTAACTTTCTGTTTGTTTGTTTGCTTAGATTTTATTTACTGTCTCGTTATTTAAATTCGATTGATTCGATTGGTGTGTTTCATTCATCAATGAAGATTCTTTGCCAATTTCTAATTAGTGATAATAACAGCATTTCTTTCGTCTGATAAGGGGAAACAGCGCGTACACGGCATTTCAAAATGATAATTTGTGATCAGGTTTTTTCTCAAGTTTCATCGCGTGACGAGAACTCGTGAATGGTTTGTGCCAGGCCTGGGTTTGTGCATAGATCAGGGGGTGGCAACTTAAATTTATTAGATTATTTACAGCCGACGTTTGATAGTCTTTAATTCCAAGTCAACTTGATTTGTCTTGGAGCTTTACATATTTTGAAAAACTAGACCTGGGTTAACTTTGTTTTGATTCTTTGCTGGTTTGACCAAAAATCAACACAATCTTGTCGGCCTCACAAATTGCGACGTGGGAAGGGAGGGTGGTGTTATCAGCTGACCTTTTGCATTGGCTGTCAACTCGCAAACGAGGCACAAGTTTATGAATCAAACATGGCCGCCCGATGAGACGTGTGTAAGATGGTTTCACTTCACCATAAGCCCCCCTGAACAATGTCGGAAAGAAAAATAAGCAAATCCCTCAGGAAGGATCGTGAGTCTACGGTATCTGCAGTAGATATCAAGTCTCTCACTTCGAGTGAAAGCACTTTTAATTTGAGACCTTTAAAGGTGAGAGAGATAGGGCTAATGATTTTATAATGGTGTTCCCTTCTTTTTTGATCTCCGTACGGTAGTCACGCTAATGAGTTGTTACGTCCAAACTTCTCTGCAAGCGAGCAGTTTTTATGGAATATTGTTCGGCTTTTATCAGTCTCGAAAGCGCTTGTGTATGGGGTTGCACTTTTCTTTATCGCGCACTGAAACCTTTATTTAGCTCGACTTGGATCGATAGTAAAACAATTCGTTGTAAAATTGTTATAAAGCGACCAATTACCTCCACAAAGAGACAATTTTGAGATCGGAAGATTTTTATTTACTTTCGCAAGATATTTAGCCTTTATGTTTTTTAGTTTATTACTAAAAATCTATCGCTAATGTTGTGATATTCAGCAACTGTTTTGACTCAGTTATCTCGCTGACTGGATACTGAAGCTTAATTATGAAACAGAAACGACTCAAACTAGCCGCAGTGTTGTCTATGATATCGAGCGGTTTTCCATGTAGATAATTTAGATCTTTGATAGATTAATGTCATTCTTTCTGCTGTCAAGATGAAACCGCGGAATTTGTTGTGTTTTGCAGGAAGTCGTAACCGGAATTCTACCGATAAGCTACGAAGATGAAATCGTGCAAAAGCGGACGCAAATCCTGAGAGATCCACTACAGATCTTGTTGGTGTTTCCCGAGGACGATGTTGTGGTAAGAAGTGGTATTTTGACTTGTGAATGTTGTTGCATTTAACCACAAGATAGGTGCTGCATAAGCCGCACGAAAATCCACGAGGGTCTCGTGCATGCATGATCAAGCAATTTGTAATCGTAAAATGTTCGTCAATGTCGTCTGTCAGCAAGACCATGTCGTGAAATCTAGGTGTAAATTGATGATTTTAAAACACAAAAACAAAAGATGTGGTGTCTTCGGCGTATTCTGCCTTTGTGTAGGATATCTATCTCCGTAATTCTTGAAAGCACTTTGGAACTAAGAACTTCCTAAGTCAAATATAATGTTTCTAAAACAGCAACATCAATTACGGAAATGAATGTACATCTGCCTGTTATGTCGCAAAGCTTTTAAGAGTTCTGAGCCCGTTGCGAATGTACGCTGCACTGAACATACTGTGTGATGTCCATTGTTTTTAAATTTGTAAAGCCTCACCGAAAACTGGATTTCAAATTATCCGTCGAAAGTTAGAAAACATTACTGCATATTTTCATCTATTTTGAGATGTTTCCCATCGCAAACATCGAGTTTGTTGATGTTCAATTAACAATTAATTATGTGTAAGCCCAGGGTTTTTGTGAGCTGAGTAGTATTTTGTTTCCAAATCAGGCAAATGTTGGATATTAAAATTTTATGATTCGACACAATGTGAGTGACGCTCGCGACGTCTAAACTATGTCTCCAGCGCATCAATAACTCGAAAAGTCCTCTCAAATGTCGTCGGAATTTCCAGACCCGGATGAATTTTTTCAGATCACAGTAAGTCATCTTTTCGAGAACAAATTGCTTTGTGCTGGTTTTCTTTTTCGTTTGATTTGTCTTTTATATCAATAACAAAATCTATTCATGCGCGTCGAGTTCATTTGTCAAGTTACATCCAGTAAATCTTTTCAACTTCAGACGTCAGCGAGTCAATATTTCCCAAACGAACTTCGTTTTGATTTATGATTTACAGTTCGCTTATTTTAATTTATATTTTTTGGTTTGTATAATTGGGAGTTCTTGACTTTTCCTTAAGCCAAAAATCACGCTTTTTCGGAAACCAATTTTATTTCTTTGTGAAAAATTGTGTGACATGTTATATGAATATTTGTGTTGGTATCGTGGGTTGAATAATATTCCAAAAAATATGACCCTTGCCAATACTTGTAAAGTATCTCGGCGATAAAGTTTTTGTGTTAGAATTAATAGGAATTGAATTGAAATAGAGGAGACAGAAAACCTTCGTAAACAAACGTGTCTTATCGTAATGTTTTTGAAGAGACATGTAAATTAAAGTCAATGATTTTTTGCAAGTCTTGAATTGAGCAGGTGTTGGAACACTGCTTTCGATTTCTCTTCTTGTAATGAGAAGTCAACAAATCGTTATTAAAATCTCCATGCAGTTTCTGGTATTTTCCAACCATAAAGATTCAAAAGTCGTGCATCTTTTCTAAAATCTACCTGTTCAGTGAAGACTTTTATTGTTTGAACTTGAGTAAAACAAATACATGTATGAAGATTCGTTCCGGCATTGTCGCTATGAATTTGATCACAGGGCATGCCCTAGGCATTCTTACAAGTTTGTACATTTTGAAATTTCCATTAAGTTTTCAAGGTTTGTCATGGAGCTGGCTAGGGAAAAGCTGTCTTATTGGGCCTCTTTTGAAGTTATTGTCCATGGAGAATAAATAGCAATTTTTTTATTTATTTCTGTAACTCTTAGATGGGTCTAAGCTGATATATCTTAGTTTACTGATTTTCTTTTCTTCATGAAGCATACTGGTTGAATATTTTTCATTCTGGCGTATTTCACTAAGTGCATTCTCTTTGGAAAAAAGTTTGTTCAAAGTGTAGATAAAATTAACCTAAGCTATAAAATTTCTGATTAACCTTTCAATTTTTCAGTCACAAAATATGTGCATGGTGATGACAGTGTGAATAATGTTATTGAAACCAGTGTCTGTGAGAAATATCACTCAGCTGTATCATGTGCAGAATTTAAAGTCTAGTGGTTAGAGATTTATGAAATTCATACAAAGATCTTTGTATGGCTGTCTTCTTTATGTTCAGCTCTGAGAAAAAAATATCATTAAAATTTAAAAGCCAAAAATTTACTTTAAATCATTCAAATTTATAGGTTTTGTTTCCAATAAAGAGCAAATTGGGAAAATTTACATTTTATGATTAAGATACTGATTACCTATATTAGGTTAATCATTTTTGTCGCATTTGTCTGAAAATTTTGCATTTATCACTTCCACTGTGTGTTTTTGTCAGAATTTTACCCTTTGTTAATCTAAGGATAGACTTTATAAAATTCCTTTAGCTGTTGTACAACATTTATCTTATAAACATGAGCATGACCTCCTCATGAAAATTATTACAGACCAGTAATTACAAGGTTATTGTCTGTACATGTACACTGTAGTTTTCAGCTTGTGACCTTGCTTGTTTTGTATCAGATAATCACAGTGGTCAACTCAGTCTAAAGCTCATGTATTTCTTAGATCAGGCATCTGATATAGAGCAAACTTGAGATACTCTCACTGCGAGAAAAAAGTTCTTCTATTTGGGGATGAGAAATGTCTCTAGTCTCTGGCAATAATAGTCCAAAGTTGAACTCTCTGTTTTAAAAAGATAAGAATCTGATTCACAATAAATGGTTGGAAAGTGCTAAATATTTGCCATCATGTCTCCAAACTTAACTAGTCTTGAATAAATTTAAGTGTATATTTTGTACATTTTTTGGTCCAAAGTTGAACTCTCTGTTTTAAAAAAATAAGAATCTGATTCACAATAAATGATTGGAGAGTGCTAAATATTTGCCTTCATGTCTCCAAAGTTAACTAGTCTTGAATAAATTCAAGTGTACATTTTGTCCAGATTATGCTATCGTATTCTGGTTCACAGGATTTCATGCCTTCTAGAACTTGATAAAAATTAATTTTTGCAAGATCCTTTTAATTCGTAAGAACTGAAGTGATGAGAGGAAAGTAGCAGACAAGGACTTCCATTAGCTAAGACAAACTTTGGTTAAACTGATTTAGTGATATTTTAATTTTAGTGAATCTTTTGAAGGAGTAACATATTCCTACATAACTGCTCCTTAGGCCTTTACTATTCCTCGGCAACTGCGGACTATACACCCTACAGTGCCAGGTGATGCTCTCACCCAAGCATCCAACTTATTTACAAGAGAGGTAAATTGTTGATAATCTATTTTATTTGAGATTAAATTCAAAATTAATTAATTTAGGAGTGTAGCACTGTAAATATTTTTCAGTCAAATTACTTTGCAGTCTGATGACACTGAAGATGTGTCAAAATGTCAAAAACAGTGCTTATACTGGGTTGTATTTACCTGTTAACCCCTGTGAGTGACTAGCGGTAATTGTTCTTCATGGTATCACTGCTTAATCAAACATTAAGGCCATGAGGATAAGAGAAATGGTTGCCAGTTTAAGGAGATTTTGACTGATAAACAAATTCTCCTTGTCATTACCTTGAGAAAAGTACAAAGAACAGTATAGAGAATATGTGTACTGATGTTAGGGAATAAAGGCTGAAGCCATCAAATGCTTCAGGACAACATCTACCATTAATATTCATTGAATTTAAAAACTTAAACATAGGTAAATATTCTGGGCCCTGTTGTTCAAAGGCTGATTAAGGCTAACTCAGGGTTAAATTTTAATCCAGGTTTCTTTATTCCTTTATTCAAAAGCCTTTCAGGAACAATTTTCTCTCTTCTCTTTTGAACAAATTGCAAGAAAAAGATTTGAACTACATTTCCTTCTAAAGCTTCCAAACCTGAAATGAAATTTCACACTAACCCTGGGTTATCATTACTCAGCTTTGAACAACATGGGCCTGGTCAGTTTTCTTTTAATAATTTCCTCTCAGAGAAACTCTCCTTTAAGAGCCTCAAATTTCATTTGAGTTCCTCCCTGTTGTGAGCTTTAGGTTTCTCTCTCCCTCCAATAAGCCAATCTCTTCAGTAAACCTCCCCTGTCCAGAAGCTCCCTCACTAATAAGCACACACCCCCCCTTCTTCACTGTCTAGACCTTCAGGTTTCTAATGGTGTCTTGTGCTCTCCTATTCCCAGAGATGTGACCTTCCTCTCCAACCCCTGAAATAAATTCTGTTTCATTTTCTTTAGTGGAGGTAGCATCAGAGCTAATATACACAACAATTAGGTTGAGGTTTAATTAAAAGTGTGAAATCAAATGTGAAAGAGAGAAATGCTCAATGGGATATTGTTATTAATAGATAAATAACATTTTTGGGGCTGGTGGTCTGTGGTACAGCCAGTTTGTCACACAAAACTAAGGTCAAAATCTTGAGGTCTGTCTGACACAGGCTAGAGGCTGGTTGCTTTTCTTAGAACTTGATATTTTAAAACAAACAGAAGCTCATAAATGTTGTTTTTATGACTTTGTAGTGTATCAGATTCTACACGGCAAACTGGAGCTGTATTGAGAACAAGTATTCAAGCTATGGAGGAAGTTATCTTAAACTTCCCAGGTAAAATGATCAGCTCAGAAACAGTGGTGGAGGGGGGCAATGACCCCCTGATGATTAAACCTCATCCTCTAAATTAAAGCAATGTGGGTGTGGCTCAAGCATTGCTGACCCCATAGACATAGAGGTAACACGTTGTGAAAGCAGGCAAGGAAGGAATGAAAATTATTAAATGATGAAATGTGATGCCTGAAATGTTTTTCTTACTACCAATCCCCTTCAAAATCAAGTTGCTTCATTTGTTTTTAATGTTTATCTGCTTTTTTTACCTCCCCTGAAAGACTCAGAGGCAGGAGGGAATGCTTCAGAAAATTAGACTTTTATCTTAAATTTTAAAACCTGTGTGCTTTAAAGACTGAAGCCCATGTCAGCCTTCATTTATGACTTGGGCTGTTTTATTGTTGGTTTTTTTTTTCTCTCTCTTAGTACAAACTATTTTTATCATTTGACGTTTTTGTTTTTTCTTATCAATCAGGCCACATCCGGGAAAGGGACTTGAAAGACAAGTTTTTGCAATGGATATGGAGGATCAGGTGGATTGTGTGAATCAGGTGGAGACATTTAGCTGTTAATGTTTGATTGTTTAGCTATATATATAATTATAAGGAAGTTGTTTTAACCCTTAACTCCCATGAATGACCAAAACAAAATTTCTCCCTACCATATCAACACAACATCAAGCAGACAAGTGATGAGAATAAGGTGAAATAGAAGAATAAGATGAATAATAGATGAGAATAAGGTGAATTAGAAGATCATTAACTGATCCAGTACCAAATACTCTGAACTATCACAAAAGAACTGTATAACAGACAGTAAGGAGAATTGCTAATGACATCTTTGGAATGAAAGGGTTCGAAATCGATAAGATCCTGTTGACTGACAATAACTGAGTGGTTTTAGAAAGGTATACCAGAAGCCATTCAAACAATTTGGAACCCAAAATACCCTCCCAGGGGTTTGGGGCAGAGAGAGATCTGATATTTCTCTAATGATGACCGGTTTTGATTCGCAGGCTGTACCAATGAGCCCAACGCGAGAGAAAGGGATCTCCAGAC